TTCTAATGCATTATGTGACTAATATTATGGCATGTCAGAAAGCAGAGTCTTTATCTGTGACATTTCCTGAATGGCTTGATGTTATTTTCATGTGTTTTCTCAGCATATTTAAGTCAGACATTAATTTAGTAAGTATTTAGCAACTATAATAACCTTAGAATAAATGTAAAGTTACTTTTTGTATTTGCACAATTTAACTATATATTTCACCAGCAGGGTGCAGCATTTCACTGCTGTGCTGCTTTTTTAAACTTTAAAACTAATTTTTATTAGACACAGACTTTATCAAAACCCCAAATTGGGAAATTTACTTTTTCCAGCAGCACAAGGGTCATCGTTTACTCTTAAACTAATAAAAAAAATGTCAGCAACTGAAAAAACAAAGCAAACAAACATCTGTAAGAATATCTGGGCCTATAATGACGGCGACATGTCCTGTAACTGTGAAGCCTATTTATGATATTTAGTACGTTAAGTTAGCATTTTTTTTGTTGCACTAATAACATGTTTTTGTTGCATTTATGAAGTTATAGAAGTGAAATAAAGTAAATTGTTTACCTTTAATTAAATTTTAATTTTAAATATCAACACAACAATGGTGAAGTGAAGGAAAAATAAGCATCTGTTTGCATGTTCAAGCAGACAACTTATCCAGGCCAGAACCTGTGTCCACCTTCTTTGCTTTCACTTCACCTTTGACCCCTGATGTTGTGATACATGAAAGGTACAGCCTGGCTTTGGCTCAGCTTTAGCTGATATCTCTACAGCACCAACCACAGACACAGGAGTTATTTATTCACATTCTGCTGACAGATTTAGTCAATTTAAAAGATCTCAAGTCATTTTAAACACATTCATTGGCACTAAGTGCCTTGAAATGATTATTCAGTGCTCGTATTCGTCCACGTGTGAACATTTTCTGCCTCTGTGAACGCGTGAGGCGTCCTTGGCAGCCTGACTGCACCTCTAACTGACACGCTTCTCCTCCTCCTCTTCTTCCTCGCCTCTAATGCCATTTACTCAAATCTAATAATGACCTCTGTGTGAGTGCGGCCTTCACGCTTCTCCGCGATTCGCCGAGGCCAGAGCGGCTCCCGGCCAATAGAAGGGCCGCCCGCTTGCCGCCATGGGGACTTACAACATGCCAGGTAACCGTGGCAACCGGCGAGGAGGGGACAGGACCTGTGGCGATTGACACTTATCCTCCCACTCGCCTGGTGAGTGTGGTGTGTGACCTTCATCCCTGGTTTCTGTGTAAAAACTCTGCCCCTCCCTCTCTGCGCAGCCAATCTGACAGTTTATATTTCAGCTCCATGAAATTTTATTTATTTATTTTTAATTTGATCCAGGCGCCACGCTGAATCCCTGCCCCAGTTAACAGGTTCAGCTTCCTCTGTAACACGATCTTCCTCTCACGTGAGGGAGGAAGACACGAGGGCAAAGGCGAGTCAGATGAAATTAAGCTTCATTGATCATGGCAGCAAACAGTGACAGGATGCGGCAGAGAAAAAGGAAAAAAAGAGGCAAAGATGAGCTCAGGGTGTCGTTGTATTTTACACTGCTTTGTGTGAAATTCAGCTGTTGAAGCAGACCCAATCTGAGTGATGAGGTCTCGGCCCCGTTTCTGGGTCCAAGCGTCCCCTGATGAGGC